CATGCAGTCCTACTTTCTTATGACCCTATGGTTGATTGGCCTTAATTGCCTTTATAAAATAAATCTTTGAGCCCAGAGTACTTGTGGTGGTGGTGGAAGTGATGAAATATTGGTTTAGAACTTCATCTTACCACAAAATAGAAAACTGGGGTATAACAAATGTTTACAAAGGATGAGTGTTTGACAGTGGTAAAAAGTGATTTTTTGATTTTTACTCAATGATTTCCTGTTTCTTATGATACACAACCTGTTTTAAAATTGTATTTTGATCTCCTTTTGTCTCTGTCTGTCTTCATCACTGGAAAGCCTTTTTGGACACTTAAACTGTGAAGAAGAGTGGCTGTTAAGGAAATGGTGGTTATAGAACAGTGTTCACCAACCAGCAGATCTCAATCCACTGGTAGATTTCGGAGCCTCTTGGAGTCGAACCAAGGCTGGGGTGGGGGTCTGAGTGCGTGCCTGCATGCAAGCACCCCAGCCCAGCATGTTGGTCCATGGGGGAAGGAAGGGGCAGGGGCTAGATCAGGGGTGGCCAGTTACTTTGGGCGGAGGGTTGGTCACCCAGTTTTGGCAGGCTGTCGAGGGCTGCATGGGTAGCCCTTCCCCTTGACAGGTGCCCTGCCCCCTGGCCACCATCTTGGGACCAATGTCCCAATGTCTTGGGACCAGTGTCCTAGGGCCAGCAGTTCTGGAGCCCAGAGTGGGGCATAGGCTGGCAGGGGTCTGTGGAGCTGGGCTGGGCTGCACCAGCAAAGAATGGGGAGCTGGCTGGGCTCCATAGAGCCCCTGCCAGCTGGGACTCCGTAGTTTCATAGTTTCTAGGGTTGGAAGGGACCTTAGTAGATCATCATCTAGTCTGACCCCCTGTCATGGCAGGAAAGAGTACTGGGGTCAACCCCCAGCAAGGTGTACATCTAGCCTCCTCTTAAAGACCCCCAGGGTAGGAGCCAGCACCACTTCTCTTGGAAGCTGGTTCCAGATCCTAGCCGCCCTGACTGTGAAGTAGCGCTGTGCTTCTGGCACCCTGCTCTGGGCCCCACCGGCACTGGCCCTGGGACACTGGTGCGGGCACTGTGCTCCCACTGGCCCCCCAACCCTGCAGTACAGGCGGTGGGCAGCGCACAGCCCTGACCCCTGCTGCTCGCCAGCAGGGAAGAAACTGGTGCTGAGAGTGGGGAAAAGTGGCCCCTCGCCTGTCCCGTGGCCAGTGCCCTGCGCTGTAGGCGCTCGCAGCCAGTGCGGGGCTGTCTGGAGCCAGGCATGGGCGGCCTCATGCGGGCCGAGTTACAAGCTGGTGCTGACTGTGGGAGGGGGGAGCAGCCCCTACCTGTCCCATGCTGCAGCTACTCACAGGCTGCCTGGGGCTGCCTCTACCTGCTCCAGACAGCCCCGTGCAGTTTTGCAGCTGGTGTTTCCAGGGGGTGCACATTGCCAGTGCCAGTAAAGTCCCTGCTAACCGAATGCCTGGGGGTTGATTAGCTGAGGCACAAGTTTGTGGCCGGATGTCGGGGGGAGAGTGGGATGGTGGTGGCTGCATGTGGAGGGAAGGTGGTTGGAACCACTGCCTGGGGGCATGAGGCTCCTGGCTCTGATCCCAGGAGGGGCCACAGGAATCACTCCTGGGGTGGGTGGATCTAGCTGTGGCCCTGTCGCAGGCGCTGAGTGTTTCAGGCCCCACCGGGGAGCAGGTGAGAGCCTGGCCCTGCTCTGTGCAGCAGGAGCTGCACCCAGCCACTCTGTACAGGCTGGAACCGCTGCCCTGGGGCTCCTGGCTCTGACCTCGGGTGGGGTGGGAGGTGCCTGTGCTAGGGTCTGGATCAGGGTTGGGTCTGGCCGCGCACCACTCCTGCCAGCCTCTGGGCTGCACTGTGCCCTGGTGCAGGCAGGTGGTGTCACTGGGGTCACTGCAACGGGCTGGGATGAGTGGGGACAAGCAGAGCCCTGGGACATTCAGGGCATGACACTGCCCAGCAGCTGCAGGCAGCTTGCATTGTCTGCTCCTGGTGCCACTGAAGTAGGGGATGTCATGCCCTGTGCCCCCCAGGGTTCTGCCGGTTCCCACTCACCCCAGCCCCTGCTGCAGTGGCCCCGGGAACAGCAGACACCAGCTTTAGAGGGAACTGTGCGTGCAGGGGGGCATGGCTCTTGCTGCTAAGTGTGCCCCAGGCTGCACTGGATGATCATCCCAAGTGCAGATCTGGGGGCCTGCAGCCCTCCTGGGGTGCATATAGCAGCAAGAGTTGTGCCCCCCATCCCACATCAACTGATAGTTTCCCCCTCTGTCCCTGGCTACAGCCCTGGGAGTGGCCAGTGGGCTGAACCCCATCCCTTTCCTGGTCCCAGTCTTACTCTCTCCCTCCATCACTACCACGGGAACATATTTCCCCTGATTTTAAACTGTTTTTTTCCTTTCATCCCAATTTCAACTTAGTTTTTGTTTGGAAGATAAACCCTGAAAAGTTCCCAGGTTGTTGTTTTTTTTTTTTAAATAAACTGAAAATGCAGAACACTAGGTATATTACAATGGGCAGCGAAGTCCTTGTCTGTGTTAAGTTGGATGTTAGGAATGGACTTGCAGAAAACTAATGATCTTTCACTATTGCTATGGCTTTTCTTTGGTCTTGTCCATCAATCTCTTGATTCCAGAGCTTTGATGAAAGATGAGCCTGAGTGAGGAGTTTTAATCTTGTTAGTCACTTCTGTTTGCCTCTTTAGTTTTGTGCCACAAATATTCCAGTGCCCTTATGTAAAAGATTGGCTGACTGTCGAATCAAATGTATTGTTTAAAGTGGTGATTGTGCACAGAATAGCTCTGTAAACAGGATTGTAGGGGTCATATTTGTGTTGTTGATTCCAAATCAGACTTGCTCAGATCACAATTTTTAAAATGCATTTCTCATAACTAAATATACAAACCTAACCTGGGATCTGATGGTGAAATTCTCTTGCACTTTTGCACTCTTGCTTACCCCCCCAATGTGGCTTGCTTTCTAGTAGTGAAAATTCTGCAACTAGACTCTTATTTGATTAGTGCTAGTCAGAAGATGAATCTTGCTTCTCCATAGCTTTGGCCCTGCATTGCTCACAGAAATGGGTCTGTCTGAGGTCAGCCTATATGACTCATTTTATGTGGGGGAGGGGGTGACTTGCTGGATAAGAATATACCAGTTTATGGTCACTTTAATGTAACTACTTCATAATGGGTCTAAATTGAAGGCATAAAACTGAGGCATGTTTTCACATACCAGGTTATGCTGAAAAGAAAGTAGCATCTTGGCCATCTTGCATAATTTTTTTGTAACTACTTAACAGACATCTAGTTAGTACTATTAAGTTTCAAATTGAGTGTTTTTGGGGAGTGGGAAGAAGAGGATAAGGAAAAGCTGGTACAGTGGTTCTGTAATCGCCTGAAGCAAAAAGTTATCTCAGCTTGTGGGAACCCAGGCTGAAAGCAAAAATGTCTCCAGTAGAAAGCAAAAATGTCTTCAGTTGAGACATTAAATTGTTGTTTAATTGTTGTTAATTTAATATTAATATTTTGGATTCCTTAAAGGAAGGCTAAAGTCTTTGCCAGCTGTGTTTTGCATGTGTCCATGTCAGCCTCTAGAATTGGGGCAAAGTTTATCTTAATCTCCATTGTATGTGGTTCTGAATGGCAAGATTATACAGCATTTCTGTAACCCTTTGGTGTGCAGTATGATTATCAATCTGAAGACTCTTTATTCATGATATCTTTCTGGACTACTAGGTTACAAAACTATCAAAGCACAAGTTAAGGCAGCAAACTTGCCTTTTTAAAAGAATGTGACCAACTTGCTTGAATTGGGAGCCTAAAGTTCAGATGCCAAAGTATAACGTTTAGCATCTTTTAGGCATCCAAGCTTCAAGATGCTGACTTGCCCCCTTGTGGGCTTTTTCAGTGGTGACCCTATCTTTCATGTGAATGTCTCTCTGAATTGTTAACGCTTTTAAAAATTTTCCTTAAAAGTAGGTCTCTAAGTGCTCAGGTCCTTTTCCTAACAGTTGTATAAACCTCATCCAGAGACTTCTGAGAACATCAGAACATTCAGATAAAAGCTGGCTGGCTAGCATCTTGTTAAAAGTTCTTACATGGGGGTCACCACTAGCATAATGGTGAGGAAACTGAAACCTGGCCAGTCACAAATCTAAAGGGTTGTAACAGAACTTGTTTTAAACTGTACTTCACCATGTTAATCCATGGTAGACTTGTTTGCTTACTGGATCATGTGGTCAGTTCTTAGCCATTTGCTCATTGCTTATTTACTTTCGTTTTTTTTCTCTCCCCTCATTGCAAGATCAGGACTTAACACATTTAATAAATTATTTTTAGTTCTCTTTGGACTTTGGGCAGAGTTGTCACTATGTGAAATGGGTATGATGCACTTTGGTTAGAAACAACCAACAGTGGTGAAGACTTTTTGATTCAACAGGACAGCCACATTTTAAACTTTGGCTTTAAATTGTTTAAAGATTTTTTTGCAGGTCTCTTTCATCAGTGACTGCATTAAATCTTTGTTTTAACCTTGGCACAGCATAAACAACAGTTTTAAAATGAGCATTTGTATTGCTGTATACAACAGGGGTGGTCTACTAATGGCATGCATGCTGCAGCTGGCTCATGGCAGATCAGGGAGTGGGACAAGTAGCACAGTGGCAAATTGGGTAGGGAGCAGAAAGGAGAACAGCAGATTGGGTAGAGGAAGGGGATTGGAGAGGCACTTGGGGAGGGTTTAATTTGTAGCATGCCTCCCAAAAAAGGTCTGGTCCTGTCCCATCCCCCCAGGCAGAGTATGGAAGTTCACACTTCTGAACTGCTTTTCACTGGCAAAATCCCTGTTGAGTAGAAGTCTTTCTTTATTAAGCAGGTAGTGGTTTACATGCACTGTAGCAAGCCTAGAAGGCCCCTCTGACTAAGCAGAAATTGCGTTAGATGATAGGTAATGTTTAAATCAATGTAACCATTTTTCTGTTGCATATAGTTTGTTGCATAATTTAAGGACCCGGATATAAGGCTTGGCGGCCCATCCCTTGTGTTTCTTGGTTTATGACTGTCGGCTTTGCGGAATACGGCTGAGATGAAAGGACTTCCTGAGGATGCAAACTACTCCATTGGCCTACTGGATGAAGGAATAACTCCTGCAGATGTTATTGACAACTATATTTTTGAGCAAACTCATGTAAGTACTTGATTCCCAAAACAAGTCTAGTTTATTTTAACATAACAATGTTCTTGTTTAAGTTACCAGCATTTAACTTTTAATCTGTAGTGGTGACTGAAGTCTGACTAACAGTTATGTTATGGGTGACATAGCACTGACCTCTTCAGATAAGGCTGTATACATTTTTCCATATAAACTTGTATCTGGTTGTGTTAGCCCTTTGAACTGAAGTTCTGTTAGCCCTTTGCTTCAGGTTGAAATATTTTGGGAAAGCTTGGTGTTCAGAAACTAAAGCAAAAGGAAAAACCCCAAAGCCACAACCCCCCACTATTCAGCCACATCCAGTTGTATGAGGCTAGAGGTGAAATCAGCTTTCTGACATCTAAAGCTTTTCTAGCTGATTCACTGAGGAGCTCTAGCCTGTGGAGAATTTGGGACATGGACATGAAATATTGCAAATAAGAGAGATCTGGGGATCAAGAAATAACTGCTATTCTAATGAAGTATGTGTGTGTGCATGTGTACAGAGTTTGCCTCCTTGTGTACCAAGTGTCTTGTGTGTGCTGTAGCTGCCACTGATCCTCCTACATGGCAAATGAATAGTGAACAGGTTGATGTTACTGTATCTCCTACAAACGCTCTTTCCTTGGGCAAGGTGTTGCTAGGCTGGGAGGTGGTAAGTCTGTCCTAGTTTTTTTCCCACAGAAAAACTGTAAAACTCTGTGCACATCATAGCCTTTACTTAGCAAGGTTCTTCCCTGCAGCTTCATTTTTATAGGCAGGCAAGTATGCTCCTCATTTTACAGATGCAATAAGGGAGAGTCAGGCTGCACTGTCACCCCTAGAGATAGAGATGAGATCTATTCTGAACGCCATACCTAGGAGTTCTCCACTTGAATTACACTGCTTTTCAGAATGAACTTGCCATACATAGGTGGCACTAGAAAGTAGTGGGGGGGGGGTAGTGTGGAGCATGCCTGCCTATTGCTCCTCCCTCCCACAGGGCTGTTCCAGGGTTGGTGTACACTGGTGGTGTGTGCATGGTATCAGAGGAGTGTGCGGCAGGGGCTGTGGTGTTGGAGCTGCTGTTGCTGGCCCAGTTTAGGGGAGGAGGCTAACCCCCATGAGCCCCAGCCTTCCACTGCCTGTGTTGCCAGGTGTGTGTGTGGCTATGCTGTCAATTACTAGACTTTTATATAACCTGAATTGTGTGGAGAAATCACCAAATCCTGATTCCTAGTCCTCTTTCTATCAAACAGGTAAACCTGTGCTGTGGGTATGAAATGCCTAGATCCTAATTTTGCTGATGACTCGTATAGGGGGACAGTATGCTTCCAGAACTTGTACTGGCTCTTTCGTTCTTCCCTTTCCTCAAAGGAAATTGATATTTTTTTTAGTATCCTTGCACATATGCACTTGCAAAGTCAGAAGTCAAATGTTAAAATTGATGTTGCCTGGGAAATCTAAATTCAAATGCATGTTATGATACTCCTTATGTGATCACAGGCTGCTAGTTTTATGGGACCCCTGCCTCACTGATTGCACAGGAGGGACAGTAAATGAAGAACAGAGGATGATCTCCTGTGGTTAAGACATTGGACTGAGACCAGACATCCTATGTGATGTTGAGTAAGACTATATTAACTGATGGATAAGGGGACCTAATGTGAAGTTGCATTGGTGACCTGGCATTTCCCTAACTTTCCAGTACTTGACTTTACAATATTAATGCTCTTAATATAGATTTCTGTATGTATTTTAATAGGATTTCCATGCCTCTGATATGGGACAGACCTTTAATGTGTTTGAATCTGCCGGTTAAAAAAAAAAATACTGAACAAATTGTTTCATTAAAACATCATATGAGCTGCTGGTTTTGAAATAATAGTAGTACCAATTGGAAAATTCCCCATTTTTATAAGATACAAAACTATGTTCAGATCATGGAAGCACTTATTTAATTCTTCCCCCTCCAGGAAGTTCTAGACTTCAAAATATGTATGTTTGTAAAACAAATGTTTTGTGTTCTGACATGTAGTTAGAATGATGATACCTAGCAGATGAGTAGAATATTTCAGCCAAAAAATTGCAAGGTACTATCTAAAAACTTGTAATATCTTTGTACTAGAAGGTATTCATTTTAAGTAAACTGGCAGAAAAGTCAAGTCACTTGCTAGAGGTCATATGTAAAAGCTGTGCTTGAATAGGGGAAAGATGTATGTAGCCTTGACCCCCAATGATTGTCAGACGCAGTAAGCAAGAGACTTCATGCTTCATTGTGTTTTGGGGTTTTTTGTGCTTTGAGGGGAAGGTCCATAACTTTTTAAAACATATTTGATTCTTATTTCTTTTCTAACTTCCTTTGTTTTACAGACTGGAAAAAAAGCATTTTTTGTTGGTGATCTTGGAAAGCTTATGAAGAAACGCATTGAATGGCAGAATGTGATGGCACCAATAAAACCATTTTACCCTGTAAGATGCAATTCCACTCCAGCCGTTCTTGAGATTCTAGCAGCTCTTGGCACCGGATTTGTGTGTTCCAGTAAAGTAAGCATTAATTCTGTAACTTGCTGTTACCTTCCTTGAGCCCTGTTTAATCTGTTTCAGGTAAAACAACAACTTTTGGCATTAGTTACCATGCTAATATTGTCTTTTTGCCTCTGTAATACTCAATTAAAGAGTATACAGTTTAAAGCTGTACTTGTATGTTAGCCAGTTATTTCAAGGGCACAAATTAGCTAAAGGAAAACCTTATTTGTGCAAGTTCCAGAATAAATTTGACATATTCACTACAGGATTTTCATTTGCCATTCTTAAAACTCTGCTACTGTCTTGTCTTGTTTTCTAGACTGAAATGGCAATGTTACAGGACTTGGCCATAGCTCCTGAAAATATCATGTATATAAATCCTTGCAAGCAAGCCTCTCACATAAAGTATGCAGCAAAAGCTGGGATAAACATCATGACTTGCGATAATGATATTGAGCTACAGAAAATTGCACGTAATCATCCAAATGCGAGGTAAGTGTTGAAAATAAATTTTAGGATTCTTCTTGCTGTGAGAATTTTAACTTTTTTGCTATGCTACCTATCTACTGGGAAGCAGGAAAAGTGTATTTTTTTAATAAAATGTAGCCATGCTAGTCTTAATCTAACCTTGTCTCTATTGCAGTATTTATCTAAAGATGCTACCACTTTTTGTAGAATTTTTCTCTTCTTGGTTTTGGCTTCCAAGCTTAGTAGGAGAAAATCACCCAGCTCAACCTTGGAGGGGAGGGGAAAGGAATACCAAGGAGGAGTGAAGACTGGAAGCCCAAGTTTCACTTAATGTTTTGGTAACTTAATGTTAGCATTTTTGGCACCTCTTTGTCAACAAGCTGGTTTGCTTTGTGCAGCTTGAGTAGCTTTTCTTTCTTTCAGGACTTTCTTTACTTCCCTGGCTCCTAATGGCTTCAACCAAAGTCTGGGGGACAAATTCTCAACCAGTAAAACTACACGTTTGTGACCTCTACTTGGCACCTGTATGATGCCATTGCATAGCATATCCATGTTTACTGGAGAACTAAAAACAGTGAAGGCTTGCTTCCAGTCCCTCCTTGTGCCACTTTGACCTAGAGGGTTTCAGAAGAGAGCAGATTTGGATATATACTTTAATTCATCTCTTAGATGGAATGTTGTTAGTGCTACCCACATTGGATCTAGATGGAAATCAAACCTGTAGCAATGTTGGTTACTTCATCAATATTATCCTTCATCATTTACCTTCAAAGCTGAAGACCTGCCATAGGCTGTATCTTGACTCCTTGGGCACCTGTCCTTGAAGTGAATAATGCAATGCTTCACACTGGGTGAGGAGGCAGTATTGTATTTTACATTATCAGGGAGCATCAAGAAAAAGGTGCCATGACCTGGTTACTAAAGCCATTGAGATGAGGCAGGCCCTTTCCCCAAAAGACCTAAATACCATTCAGATGCAAGTCTTATAAGGAGAACCAGGGACACAAGAAATAATTAGCAAAACTCTCTAAACATTTAAACTGTCTCCAGTACTTACTTTCCACTCAGTTGTGGCTGTTTGTGCTTTGTGCAATTTAAAAATGCAGTTGTATGAATTCAGACAAGCTCTGGGAGCCTGCTAATGGCAAAGCGGAGCAGCAGCAAGCTAGGAAGACTCAAAGTATCTGACTACAGTATTTCAGTTTCAGTGTCTGAGTTGATTGGCTCTAAGTGCCAATCCAGAAATCTTTGGAGGAAATAATTGGGACTCCTGTTGTAGCCCAATGGGAATGTTGTGCCTGTTTGGATTCTGTTGATGAAGTGTCATGCCTGCCCAAACCACTCATCCCATCAAATACTGAGGAGCATTTCTCAGCTCTACTTTTCTTCCTTTGTCCTTACCTACTGTCACACAAGCTTGACAGTGAGGAGGCTATAGCTGGAGAAAGATGGCTCAGATGTTTGTTGTAAATACTTAGTTTGTGCCTAGCTGCTTTAAGACAAATGTGTGTTTAGCTCTCAGCTGCAGCCTCCAGGTTTGTCTGTTCAAAGGACAGTAGCCATTTTCTAGAACTCAGTCTATTCCTGGCTGGATCAACTTTGTAGCACAGGTGCCTAGAATTAAAAAATAAAATACAATCTGTGCAGGAGTGTGTGGACTTAAGCTAGCATCTAATGCAACTTGGCTTTAATGTGGGTGATTATGATAGTGAGAATACCATCTTGGATGGGCATTTATTCACTTGGTTGCAAGTCTTTTAGGCTTATAGAAAACTTGAGGGCATACCCTGTGAACCTCTCTAATGAAGAGAAATGGGTGAAAGGCCAGTCTGCATTTTTAGCTTGCCTCATTCCTACAGGGAAGGGGAAAGCCTTTGCTTTGAGGACTAGCTTCCATATTTATTGGTATCGAGAACAGAGTGACTGCACAGCAGCATTCTCTGCTGCAACATTGGCAGTAAAAGTCTCAATGAAGACAGTCCCAAATTTGAAACAAACAAGTAAAACAAAATCCTCTGCTTTGAGAAACAAAAGGAACTTTGTAAGTAGCTAGTGGGTATGTTACATGCCTTTCTAGTTTATGAAGGCTTCTTAGAGGATCATTCAGTTAGAGTAAAGCAGTTTGTCTGCTTTGTGTTGAGAGAACTATGCAGCACTTGCATGCATCCGAAATAAACTGCCATTTATATTTAGGCACTTGCTTAAATTCAGCTTCTAGGAGGAATCCCCTTTCAATTTGAGTCTCATTTCCACAGAACCTAAATCCAGATTATTACCATGTAGTTGTTTCCTTCTGGATTTCTTCTATTGCATTTCCTCAGTTTTTTTAAAAGAGCTTTTAAAACCAAATATTTCTTACTAAAAATAGGCTGTTAAAAAAAGAGAGATGAGAACATATTATCTTTACGGTGGCACACCTAAAAATATATCCTTGTAAATGTCTTGTTTGATGTATTTTCTCTTAAGTCCCAGATTTTGGATGTGCCTTGAATTCAAGGGTGTTGTGTTGTCAGAAGCATGGCTCTTTTTATTTTAATTTTTTTGTTGTCTGCAGACATCCTCTGGTGGTTGCTGTTTTCAGCAAACGGTGTGTGTGCATGCACACACTTTGAAAACAAAACTAAATGTAAAAAAACAACCCTAAAAAAACCCAGACCCTTAGAATCATAGGAAGGTAGGGCTAGGAGGGACCTCCATGAGGTCATCTAGTTAAGCCTCTGCTCGCTGGGATGGTTTAGACAGATTATCCTGCCCTGAAGTGTCTGTCAAATCTCCTCTTCAAAATTTTCCAGGGATAGAAATTTCACACCCTGTTCAAGTAGTGTATTCCAATGCTGACTACCATTATACCAAAGTTCCTCCTAATCTCCAGCCAAAACTTCCTCTTCTGCATCTTAGTGCCCTTGCTCCTAGTCCTGTCCCCTATGGCCACAGACAAAAGCCCATCTCCATCCTGTTCATAGTATCTGAAGACTGTTATCCAGTCTGCCTTCAGTCTTCTCCAGACTAAACTCTCTAATCCTGTTGGCCTTTCCTCATAAGTATTGCCTCCCAGGCCCCTAATCACTTTCGTTGCTCTATGCTGAACACTTTCCAAACTGTCCATATCCTCCTGGAAGTGTGGGGCCAAAAACTGGACATACCTCTCCAGGTGAGGTAACCCTACTACCCCTCCACCCCAGGGTCTATGCAGCACTTCCTGGATTTCAGCCCTGCTCTCCAGTGTCTTCAGCTCAACTCAACTTGGTCCGCCCTTCCTTTCGTTTTAGTTTGTGCTTTCACTTCTTTGTAAGTATTGCTATTCTTTTACAGTTCAAGCTCCTTGCGCTCTGCAAGTTAGAATCTAGCACAGAAAATTGCATCTTAACTGCTCTTTAAGGGGTTGCAAAATTACTTGTTACTGCAAGAGAGAGATTCTCTTTCTTCCAGTTGGAGGGGAACCCTTTTTGAAGAATTTAATTTTATCAAATGTTGATGGATTTTTCTATGTCTTTCAGGGCATTATTTTTAATACAATATCTTGTTTAATGTGTTGTTGCCTCTTTGGGAAGTCTTCACTTCCTGCTAAAATAGAGTTTGACTGAAAGAATCCAAGGGCAGTTAATTATGCTCAGTGTGCATCTTTGAAACCTAGAGTTGGGGCAGGGATAAGTAGTGTTATGTGTCTTTAAAAACTGAGATAGTGAGGGGACTGCAAGTCCAAGATTTCACAAGCCAGCTAAGACCCAGAAATGAGAATCCTGCATGGTATTTTCATAAGAGAAATTGCAAGGAAATTTTAGCTTTTAAGTGAAAACAGCTAGCACTTGTAAATATTACATTATGTCATGGGAACTCAACTGAGGAGTTTGGTATATGTAGTCCTAAATATTTGCAGATTAACATCTGTCCTACTATGACTGTAGGATGTAAAATGCACTGTTATAGTTTTGGAGTTCTTGCAGGATAAATTCAAAGGTTATTGGGGTTTCTTTTTTTATAGGAATATTATTAGTGTTTTCTTATGGTATTACAAATATTGCTAAATACATTAAATATTTTGTTAAACAGTTCTTTAACTTTTTTAATTCCCCTGAAACACTTCTAATGAGTTAGGAAATAAACCTGGCCAAAGGAAATGACATAAATTGATATCAAGACAAAGGATAATAAGGGCATCCTTTAAAGCAATAGGAATGATTTGCCTCTTCATGCATACTCCTCTAAATTGTCTATTGTAAATATTTTCAGTTTGGGAATTTTCTTAGGCAGGGATTAATAATGAAAATCTAAGAAGCCACTGTTAACCCTGAACCTAAGATAAATTAATGGATCATACCCTAGTACAGTGGTCACCAACCAATGGATCTTGATCCACTGGGAAGTCTTGGAGCCTGTTGGAGTTGATCTGAGGCTGGGATGGAGGGCAGAGTGCCCACATGCATGCCCCAGCCTAGCAGATCAGTCCATAGGGGAGGTGGGGGGACTAGATAGAAGCCTCTGCAGTGAGGGACAGTGCTGCAGGAGCAGGGGTAAGTTGAGTGGGGCCCCTGTCAGGTGGGACTTACCTGCAGGAGAGGCATGCCCCCAAACAATTTTTTTTTCTCCCTCTGCCTGAATCTGTC